CCAAGTCATACCTCATGCATGTTAAACACGACAGCTTTAGGTATTCACTAGACACTAACAGCTGATATAGATCATCCCATCAACGGGGCTGTGGAGGAAAAGCCCCTACGCCGTGGGTCTTGAAGAACCTGCAGCAAGTAGAATGCAGTAGCTCTCTGCATGTCTTACCGGAAGGATGTAATCGACGTGATGATCCTGGTGTAAAATGGAGTCGTCACTTGGGGATCTTTTCCCTTCCACTGACATGAATCCCCTCTTTTCCGGGTTCGGAACCAGAAATTGATATCGAATGCCAATACATACATACACAAGGCTTACCACAAGGAAACATCCCGCTCAAAATCTCGTCACATTTTGTGATGGAGCCAAGGAATGGGCCTTTACCAGGTCTACCCACAGCTCACACGTCCAGTGTCGTGTTGGCTCTGTCGATCTCATGGAGATATGTACAATGTGTTGGTCTTGATGACTTGGTAGTAAAAGTTTTGATCTGACCAGTATTTGATTACTCGTGTCTGAAACTACAATTGTAAAAAAAAAAAAAAAAAAAAAAAGAAACTTTAACAGACACCCATATCTAACAATTCTTCAACTCATCTTCAACGTCATAAATCACATCTCCATGATCAACACCCGACGCAGACATACCCCAAACACCGCTCACATACGACATAGCCCAAACCACCCACTCCTTAGCCCAGACGACCCAAGGGTTCTGATTCTTGCGCTTAGCACCGTTGCGCTGCGCTGTCAGGGAGATTTTATCTATCCGAGGGCGACGAATTTCATCGAACTTGGCAAAGACAGCCTCGAGGGAGTCGTACTCCTTGTTCTCAAATTTCTTCAGCAATCCAGAGATGAGGAAAACGTCTTCCATGACGATTGACACCCCCTGCCCCGCGTGTGGTTGCATGGCATGTGCTGCGTCCCCGAGAAGTAAACATCTTGTAGCACCGGGTTTGAACCACTTACCCCCCAAGGGAAGACGGTAGTGAGGGTAAAAGTGCACGTCCTTACTGGCATTGACAAGCCGGCGGAGATGTTGTCCCCAGTCGCCGTGCACGCCGTCCAGTACTGTCGAGAGGGATTCGCGGAACTCCGTCATTTCTTTTTGACGGTGGAGAGACCATCCGTAGCGGGCGTCTTCCGAGTCCTGTGACGGAAGAGGAACCTGTTTGCTGAAGAACCAGAAGGTCTGGTTGTTGGGGCAGGGTGCACTAGCCAGCATTCCCTGGGGGGTGAGAGTCGAGTGCAGGCATGGTTCTTTGTCGTTGGGATTCGGGACATCGACGATGGAGGAAACGGCCGAGATGCCGGAGTATTCTGGCTTGAAGCCCGGGTCGACGTGAAGGGTTCGCACGGTGGAGTGGATACCATCGCAGCCGAGGAGGAGGGAAGCAGTTTCAGATGTACCATCGGAGAAGTTGACGGTGATAGAGTCGGCGTTGTCGTGAATAGAGACAAGCCGCTTTTCCCAGTGGATGGGGATTTGGGATCTCTCCGCGCCTTCCATAAGACAGTCCATCAGCTTTGATCGGTTGATGCGGTGGTAACCGAATCCGGTCTTTTCCTTAGGTTCGGTCGAGACATCGACTTCTTTGAGGATGCCGCCGGAGGTAGAGTGGAGGACTGTTCTGGCAATATCGACTCCTTGCGCGGCGATCGAGTCCCAGAGACCTAGACGGTTGAGGAGAAGGAGTCCATTGCATGGAATACCCAGAGAACCTCCCAGAGTGCCGGCATCGTGGCTGCGGATCTCGTAGATGACGGGTTCGAGGCCGTTATGATCTCGAAGACGGATGGCAGTTGCCAGGCCACAAATGCCCGCACCAATGATGATAACCTAGCGCTGTGAGAATATGTGTTTTATCCAAGGGGAATATTGAGATACAAACCTTCTTGTTCTTGCCCTCCATGCCTGTATTCTGGCTGCAACGAAGATGAGAAGAGAAGAGTCCAACAGAGAAAATGATTGCGATAGAATTGTTATGCGTGTGAATCAGCTTTTTGTTACTGCTGCGGAGCTTCAGCTGAACAGCGGTGGAGCTCGCGTGGTAATAGAAGATGTTAGTGAATGACAATGTTTTATGTGCACGGGGATGTTCTGTGGAAATACTAAGGTTGGCACCTTGGATGCACCTTGCTATTTACAGTACTGGATGATCGTGCTGATAAGCCCATGTCTATCATTTCCTTCGGCTGGATAGTACAAACATACAATCTGTAGACTAATACTTGGCCAAGTGGTTCCGCTACATAGTGTTAGTACTCCCGATTTAGTTAAATCTAATCTGTAAGCGAATAAATGTTCATTATGTATGGAATTGACAATTTAATCGGCAGGACCCACTCGCAGGTCAACCAAGTTAACCAGCCAGCCATCTCAAGTTGACCGGCACAGCTGAAATATACATATGACCTTTGGAGTAGATCGTCTGCATAGCCTGGATAGATTGTATTACCTAGATTATCTTTGAATAGTATCTTGTTCAATTCGGTTGCTTTACCTATATTGCCTATATATTATTTGAATGAATGAACCAACTATAATTAGAGGTGACAGTTCAAGTACTATTAAATGTGACGCGTCAATTCTCGACCCATAAAAATCTAGAAAAGTGGACTAACTGGAACACAGACACTTTTTTTTTTATGCATTCCTTTATAATGCTTGCTTCGCTTCGCTTCACTGACGCAATCAGATGGGATGAATCTGTGACTGCTGTAGCGAATGTTTGCATTAGTTCGAGGCGATCTTCATTATTCACGAGTTATTAGTGTGCGAGAATATCCCTCGTATCAGGAAAATCCCTGGTCCAAATTCAGCAGATCCAGATACTATTCTTTCTGTAGCTGAAACGGAAAGATATGAACCCATTTGAGTTTCACTATAGACCTGGCACTTCGGGACCCATTTTCAGGCTTAGAGTTCCACAATATATGCATTGTTGTCTTGATCAGCGTTCATCGTCAGCCATTTCTTCCAATGGAGCTGATATTGAGTTTAACATAGAGACGGGAGGCGTAGTGGATGATTGGACGGGTTTGCCTGCATGCCGTCAACCTGTTGATCACAAACCACTTAGGGAACTCCTGGCTTGGCGAATCGATGTGATCAAGCATGGACCTCCTCGAATGATTAATAGGAATTGTTCGAGAGAGCGGCTGAGGTTGTGGGCCCAATTCTTCCCAAGTCTTTCAGCCTGTAGCTCAGTCCTGCCATGAATCTATGGAGGTAGGTTGAAATAAACATAAGGAGGGAAATAGAGGAAAGGATACACACATACACACATACATGCACACACATATATATATTAAAGGGTTGAGGTTAAAGACCAGCTCTCTAAAACAAAGGATCTTGGGATTACTTGCCCTTTGGTCTATGTACCAGGATTTGACGTATATCTCCCATAACGGTGATTTGTATAGCTTCAAAATAATACTGAATGATCACAGAAATTAGGAGAGAAAAAATAAGTACATACTTACTGACAATAACAGTTTAAGACCGGTTTTATTACTAGCGTAGAATAGTGACTTTGGAGACCTATCTCCATAGTCAGCTCCTCAGCTCTTGTTGGAGCCGAGTGGATAGCGTGAATTCACATTCGTCTGGTAAAGGATATAAACCCACTGTCCCAATGTTCTTCTACTCCTTCCACGGCTTCCACAGCTTCCATCCCTTTTCTCTCTCCAGTCTTCTCCCGTTCTGTCTTTTCCCTCCCCCCCCTTCTTCTGCCCCACAATGTCGATTGGAAACCTTCAACAACTCTTGGAGGCAGCTAGCGCCCAGGAGGGCAGTGGTAATGTCATCACATATTCCCAGGGTAACCTAGACCAACCCAAGGTGTACTCGTACAAGCAGGTCCTTGAAGCTGCCCAGAAGGCCTCTTGGGCTCTTCGCTCGCGGGGTGAGACATACCGTCCTGGATCTGTCATTCTTCTCCATTTTGATCTTCACTGGGATGCCATTGTCTGGTTCTGGGCTACCCTCTTCGCTGGCTGCATTCCTTGCATGTCCACTGCTCTGTCAAACAACCCTGCCATTCGCCTGAACCACCTCGAACATCTCTCCAAAGCCCTCATCAACCCCAGCTGTCTCACCACGTCGACACTGTTGCACGAATTCGCCGACCAAGAGCACATCAACCCCATTTCAATTGAGTCTCTCAGTGCCGGGAAGGCCACCTCCGATGAGCTCAACAACATAAACCGCAAGTCTAAGCCGACCGACATCGCCCTGCTGATGTTGACGTCCGGCAGCTCCGGCAACTCCAAGGTTGTCTGCCTCACCCACCACCAGATTTTCACAGCCATTACTGGCAAATACTCAGTTATTGAACTGCCAGAAGGCACTTCCTTTCTCAACTGGATCCGCCTCGACCATGTTGCTGCTATAGTCGAGATCCACCTCCAGGCTCTCTTTGCCCGCAAGGACCAAATCCACGTCCAAGCCCCTGATTTCCTC